TGCAAAACAGGAGGAGGACTGCCCCTGTCCAGGTAAAGGGCTGGGGGGGGCGGGGGAAGGGATAGAACTTTAGAAGGTAGCGATGGAGAAAGCAATAGACAAAAGTTTCCGTCCGTGCCTCATTTTTCTTCTAACAAGACATGTCCCTGCCCTGCTACACAAGAACTAAATGCAAAGCAGAATGTAAAATCTATACTAGGGGGAAACTCAAATTTCATACATAATAATATGCAAGAACACGTTGTACCCAGAAATCCTATGCCTGGTTTTTTAAAATTTTATTATTTTTGTGCATGTACCATCAAATCAGATCTGACTGGTACAGAAGGAAATTGTCCCTCCTTCCCCAGCAGAGCATCTGGTGGATTTGAATTGTGCACTTCTAGGACTGCAGTGCAGCTTCTTGCCACTAGGCCACAAGAGTCCCCTTCCTGTTTATTTTAAAACAACAAAACCACCACCACTGTAAATACCTGTATTTGATTGTGAAAAGAACATTCTCCTGGGAATGTCCAATGGCAGGAAATGTCCTGTCTTCAAGGCCCAGGGAATCAAAAACTGTGGAGGAAAACAAAACTCAACTATTGCTGGTCTACAAACTTTCTAAAGTACAATTGATCAGGGTTTCCCAGAAAAAAAAAAAAAAGAAGATAAAACATTTAGGGCAGAGGGCACAGTGAGTAGGCAGAGAAAAGAAAAAAAAGTCATTGCTCTTTCCCAAGAAATAACCAAATGTTTCCTAGTGACCAGTAATTGGATCAGTCAATTTTGAAAGCTTATTTTTGCCTTCATTTTTACAGAACCTCTAGTGGTTTAGTGGTGTTACCAGCTCAAACATATGTGCTTCAAATCCACCAGTTGTTCCTCAGGAGAAAAATGGGCACTTTCTTCCTTTGCAATTCACTGCCTCTGAAAAGCCCCTGAAGGATCAGCTATGAGCTGTTTCCAGCTCAATGACACGTGACATTTTGCAAACAATTGTTTACTGTTGAAAGAAATTATGAGTTATCTTATTTACAGACAATATTTCAAGGAGTGCCAGTGAAGATCGATTCAAGTCTTCTCTCAATTTTATGTATGTATGAATCAGAAACCACTTAGGAACCAAATTGAAATTGGCACAGCTGAGCTCTCTGTCAAGTAGCACTGGAACAGAGGAGCCTTGGGTTTCTCTCTTTGTATGGGTGTGAGGAACTATTCGAAGTAGAATCTTACATAGTTCCAAACTTTTAGCTGCATGTTTCCATGTAAGAATTTTCAATATTTATAGGGTCTGAAAGTTTGGATTGCAGATTTGCTTCCATCGGATTATCACAAATTCTCTTTGGCAAATCACCGAAAGGTTTATATTGATAGGAAATAATGGTCCACAAATCACACCTCATATCTAAGACCTTTGTCATATTCTCACTGCTTATTTACATTGATAAAGCCAATTTGGCACAATGCCAGCCCAATTCCTTGCATTTGATTGAGAAAACTAAGGGCCAGGAGAGCCTTTCCAATTGAGTCCAGGGCAAAACTTAGATTTTAAATGGTGGGGTTTTTTTACCTCTGGAAGCTTACTTCTGAACTGCTTCTTCAAGCTGGGCTATTTGTTCAAACTATTGAGACATTTTTATATATATATTGATTTCCAAAGCATTCAGACATAGCTTCTTCCATTAAACAAAGTCTTTCATTTATGATTCATGTTGTTTGGTGCCTTTAAATACCATTCATAGCGACTTTATGAACTATAGGTCTGAACCCTGTCCTATTCTAAGCCATCATCACCATCTAACAAGGCAATTGGAACCTGGTTTATGGGGGTGTTTGAATCTGGTTTGTATTCCTTAGAGGATAGGGAAAGGTGTATTATACCTGGCAGAATTGTGTTTATCTTATAGAGGAGAGCAGGTACTAAAGTAGAATAAAAGATGCTCAAGTGATACTTCGTTATAGCACAGAGCAACGCCTCCACCGTGGGTGGTCTGGCAACATTGCATATATCCACATAAACCATGAAAGGGAAACTGAAGCACGGGCTGAGCTGAGTCTTGGCAGAACACTTATGATCTTCCCAAAACGTGAGAATGCTGTGGTATGCTACTACAAGGCCATCCTCCCTCTCAGTTCCCTGTATTCTTTATAGTCTCTGGGAAGCTGTCATGAGACAGTTTCTCATGTCTTCTGGAATCGGAGGCACTGTGAGGGCCCAGCTGCAGCCGATAAAGCTCCTAAGCAGCTGCAGCAAGGTTCTCAGCAACAAGGTGTCCTTATCATTCATTGAGTTCCTTTTGTTAGTTGTCCTCTGTGGAAGGTCTTCAGGAAGCCAACAATTTTGGTTTCATTTTGTTATCTCAGAAAGTTGTTAAATTAAAAAAAAAAAAAGCCCACAAAACTGTTGCTTTCTTAACTGGCAGAATCTATCAGGCCTGGCCCTGCCTCAGCGTTTAACAGTTAGAAACCATGAACCCATAATCATCAGTGAAATGAATCACAAATTTAGAAGATTCTAGAACATAATGAGTCAGTTCTCCTTCCTCAAAAAATGTTAAGCTTAACAAATGAGAACTTCTCAAGCACTGACAGTCCAAGAAGAAATAAAAGAGAATTGACTGGGGCAGGCAGGGGAGGACAGGAGGAAGTCATTTAGAGCCACTGTAAATTGTTTAGGGTTTCCAAGGAGTTCATACTATGAGATCTTTCTCTGGAAAAGAATGTTCTGCTCCACCACTGTAAAGCTCTGGTTGTGTTTTACTAAGAACCCAACTGCAGGGAAGAAGTTTTGTTATATAGGCAAGCTCTCACAAATATATTCCTTTCTCTCTCTCCCTACAGGCATTTCTGAGGTGAATATTACTTGCAAGTGTTATGTTTCTAACCAGTATTGTGAAAATGGCTTCAGGAAATTTAATGATTATTCTCTTATGTCTACCAGAAATGCAAACAAACCACAATTTCAGGCAGCAAGACAAAGTCATCCATCCCAGCCTTGCTGATGATCATCCTTCTGAAGATAATGGTTTTCTGATCATTTCTCGTGTGTGTGTGTGTGTGTGTGTGTGTGTGTGAGAGAGAGAGAGAGAGAGAGAGAGAGAGAGAGAGAGAGATTCATTCCTTGATTCGTGAGTTCTTGACATTATCGAATTCAGTAATTCATTCTCTGTGTTCAGCTAGACAATGATGATTATCTAGAAGATGATCTGTCTCAAACAGCGGTGTTGTTTACTTTTTTTAACTATAGCCTACAGTTAGACTTACTTTCTACTACAGATCCATATAGTTTGATTTATGCAATATAGTCATATATGTGCGTATACTTAACCAAAATAAACATTTTGTGCCACAGTCTTTACCTTTATATGTATGCTCTTTTATTCTTTTCCATTGACTCCTAAAATAAAACAAACAAACAAATTTAAAAAAAAGCAAACCCACACACCAAGAACATTGGTCATCATTCATTCAGTACGTTTCTTAGCTGTCTATTGAGTCTGGGACTGGCATAGGAAAAGCACTGCCATAGAAAATAGAAGAGTACAGAGGGAAGTTCATTAAGAAATTCACAACCTAATTGTAGAGACAATGCAGACTAATAAGACCTGGGTACCTGTGATTTTTTTTTTAACACACTACTCATACACTAGATATCTCTGATGGTGAATAGAGTAGTGCTGTCAACAGAAAAGTGGGCAATTTGAATCTACCAGCTATTTCAGAGGAGAAAGATGGGAAATCTACTATTTCCTCCCATGTGACTTACTGTTTCTGAAAACCTACGAGAGGGTCAGCTCTGAGTTGGTTCCAATTAGGTGGCAATAAGTATGAACAAGCACATACACTAGTTAAGACAACAGGTACAATCAACTGGAGACAAGAGGCCAAGACACACAAAAAAGAATGAGGTTAGGCCTGATACATACACACACAAGCTGTATTGGACAAGGCTCTGGGCACCGTGATGGTAAAAGAGTTGATTTTCACCTTGCTCCCAGGGGCTATATTTAAACCATAACTTCTACTCTCCTATTCTTTTGAGCCGACAGATGGCTTTTATACCCTCTACACACCCTTGTCAATGTCGGTTATTTATTGACATAGTTCACTGATGGCTACAGCACCTGTTTCCCTTTGACTTTCCATTAAGGAAACGTAGCACTTTCCTTTCTGGAAATCAAATTCAGGATCATTTTAAGTGTTCCTGCAATACTCAATTCATCATATTGTTATGTGGCCTTAAGTCATTTGCTTCTCATAGTGACCCTACATAGAGCAGCTCTGAACCCTGCATCATAAGTTATTATTTAATTTACTCCCTTTTCTAGGCACATCAAAGATTATATTATCACCAAGAATTGCTTCCCTCTAAAATCTTTACTATAGGCACCTCATTTTGAACCAAACCACTGCTTTTTAAAAGCATACTATTTTCAGATCTGTCCTTCCTCTACTATCCATTATACTGTTTTCAGGTCTTTATCTGTTCCATTTAGACCCCATAAGGAATTTCTTCTAGTAGTTCCCAGGGTAATAAACCAAATTTTCTCCTGTGGCATTTAAGTTACACTTACTGGAAAAACTCTAACCCTAAATTAACAATGTGCTAACCTCACCCTTGACTATGTCTGGCTGCTTATTTCTAGACAAAAATTACACAGCCTTCTGAGCTGGGACATTAAACCATCACAGTGAAAAACTTCAAACAGTAGGAATTCTATTGGGATGTCATCTGGGCCTCACTGAAGAACTATTACAAGCTCTGGGGGCAATGCCCACCAATCTGTTTAATTAGCCCTCTGTTATTAAATGTCATCAAATCGAGTATGACTCAGCAACTCTACCAACAGCCAGTCAGAACTCTGTTCTATTCTGTGCCATCCTCAAAATCTGAGGCCAGCCCATTGCAGCAGTCACTGTGCCAATCCACCTGTTTGAGGGGTGACTAAGTAGGAGAAAATGAGACAGAAGGGCACAGGGCCATAAGTGTCTCTCTGAAAGGGCCAGAAGGAGTAAGAATGCCACAGCCTTTCACGGCCCGAGAGCAGAAAGCAGATAAAAAGCCCGCAGCCCAGTCACGGTGCCTCTACAGCCGCACCAACAGCAAGAGGTTCGTTTATTCACTGCTGGCTCACAGACTCACAGCTATGGTACCAACAATGGGATTTAGGAAGGAAAGAAGTTGGAGAGTAGGGGAGGCAAAGAATGTCACTCACCCAAGGCAAACCCAAGTTTTAGCCAAGCAGTGTCAAGGCATGATTCTTCAATTAGCCCAGACTCCAGTTTCAGTCTAACAGTCAAATCCAAATAATCTAACAAGGTTTACCTCAGAGTAATTATAAGTTAGCTGCTTCTTCAAACATCCGTCAAGGACAGGCAAACCTTTAACTGTGGCCAGCACAAATGAAAGATGTCGCAGGTCACACCTTGCCACCATTTGTGCACAGCGATGCCACAGTCTCTCACCAGTAAGATTTCATTTTCATCAACGTCTTACCACCATAAGCCTTGCCAACCTCATGACATGTTGCCCTGTGTAGGAAGCACTTTTTCGCTTATCATAGCCCCCACAGCTGATGACAATTTGCAAGACCAGGCTGATTTTCAAGACTATGTGTATGCAGTTAATGTAGCTGGAGACCAGAGAGGGCTACAAATTTTAGGCCAGCACCACAAGAGTCTTCCTCTCCTTCACCATTCATCCACTTTTCCAAGCATGATGTCCTTCCTCAAGGAATACCCTCTCCTAGCAACATGCTCACAGTATGTGAGATGAAGTTTTATCATCTTTGCTTCCAAGGAGCACTCTTGCCTCTAAGACATATCGTTTTGTTCTTTTGGCAGTCTGTGGGAGATTCAGTACTCTCCTCAAACACACAGCTTAAAGGTATCAATCCTTCTGTCATCATTATTCATTGTCCACCTCTCAGCAGCATAGCACGTGATTGAAAATATCATGGCCTGAATAAAACACACCTTAGTCCTCTAACAATATTGCTCCTCCTCAGTAATTTGGAGAGGTTCCTAAGTGCGGTCTTTCGCAGTGCAGTACATCTCCTGATCTCTTGGCTGCTTTTACCAGTGTACTGATTGTGGGTCTAAGTAAGATGAACTTGCTGACAGTTTCAATGTTTGCTCTATCTATCAGGATGTTGCTTATTGGTCCAGAGGCAAGAATATTTATTTCCTTGACATTAATATGCAATCTATTTTGTAGGCCGCAGTGTCTGATCTTCTGCAGCAAGTGTTTCAAGTTCTCCTCACTTTCATCAAGCAAGAAAAAAAATATAGTCCTTTAGGTAATCTTTATGGACATGAAAATTTGAAGCCAGTGATAGGGGAAAGAGATGTCAATATCTCACTTTGCCATTCTCAGTGAACTACATAAGAAGCATGAGTTTGCCTCGGCAACTTCTGCTTTCTCAGTTATCAAGCTTTAACAAAAATAATATCACTGCTGCTAGATCACTGAACATAATCTTGTCAAGATTATTGTCAGACCAAGCAAGATAACTCAGCTTCAAATGAGAACAAATTTGTTGAATAAGGAATTAACTATGTTTGATTAAGGTAAAATAATGTAGAATAAAGGGGGAAAGAGAAAGATTAAAACTTGAATTCTTGGTGGTCAGCATTCAATAGAAGAAGTAAGTAGCCCCCTTCTTCTCTAGTGTCATGTTGCTGGACACACCAATATAGACGTTTACTCATCACTCTCGGTCCCTTTTGAAAAGCAAGAAATGTCCTTGGAGAGTGTGCATACCATCAAAAATAGAATAACTAGATATTCTTGTTCTTGGATTTAATGGGGGCA